TCTACACATATAGAATTTAAGCTATTTTATTGTATTCTGCCTATACTACAGGAATCTCCCAATAATGCTTGCCTTCCCTTGGGAACGGATAGATAAGGTTCCATTGAGCTTAGGGGAGGGAGCGGTCAGTCCTGGATCTCTTGAAACTATGCAATGATTCAAGGCTAATTCCCTGTTTGAGTCCTCCTCCCTGCCTAGCTGGGTGTTTCTCAGCAACTAGATATGCCTTAAGCAGCAAAATTGCTGAAACCAGGTCTGTGTAGTATCTTCCTTCGTGTGGACAGTTATTCATGCATCAATTGACATTTGAATAATCAGATAACTACCTAATTAGTTCCATTTCAGCCGAGGAACACTATCAGTTAAATCTTCTATTGGCTAATACAGTATAACAAACTTGTTTGTTTGTTAGTTTGAACAGCACATAATAGGTTTGTTCGTAGTGCAAGTAAGAGATGAAACTGATCTGGAAATCTTTTTAATCCTTCTGGATGAGAGGAAGCTGATGGCTACGGACTGCTTGAATGGCAGAGATCCTACTGTTGCCCAGTTATTGACCTACTCTACAGTCCCAATAGCTCACCAAATGGATCAGCAAAACAATATTTTTTTAATTGTTCAAAGCCTGGTGCCTCTCAAAAAAGATTGACTAGAGTGACCTATTCATGGCAGAGATGCTTCACTCACAGTGATGGTAGCAGAACACAACCTCCAGCCTCAGTGTGTGATTTCCAACTGCAATGGCATTTGACCATGCCCACTGACAACCTCTGAGCCTGCTCATGCTCCGTGCATGAGTGTTATGAACTAACTATAGTTCCAGAGAAATGTGGGCATTATTAAAATTAAGCCCACTAATATCCTCTCTCCAATTGGGTTTTTAGCAGTAACAAGCTCTTCCAGGTTAATTGCTAATACTTAAAGCTGAAACAGAAATGTGGAGATTAATTACAATGTAACCTGGAATTGTAAAGTCTTATGATAAGGCTCTGAATGAAAACCTAAACAATTCCCCTGTGATTAATGTTGGCATTTACTCTGAACTTTTAAAGTGGAGTTAATTGCAAATGATGGGAGAAACACACAAGGTCTCTGCTCAACCACCACCCTAAAGTCTATGAACAATGTTGCAGTAACATCCTTTTACTAGACAAACGGGACCTACTTCCAAATAAGGATGCTGAAATATTCAATAGTAGCAACAGATGCTTCGCACTGTGCTAAGCAGAAGAGAAACAGAGGTTTAGACTAAATAGTGTCAATAGTGGAGAACATAGTTGTCCAACATCATACTACGGCATCTCCATATATAATACGGGTGAAGCGGGGCATAATACAGAGATATAAAGATAGAGCCTCTGAGATTTAATCCTTCCACTTTCCAATTCAGCTTTCTAAGTAACCAAGACAAGGTCAGCTGAGGGAGGGAAGAAAGTAAACTCACAATGCAATGCATAAAAATACATATTTTAGATTAAATGCTTTCAATTTAAATGCTAATTCTGGCACTTTTTTTTCTTACTTTAGTGCACAGTGATTCAGAAACCGGATGGAAATTATTTCGGAAGGTGTGCAATATAAAAATGATGCGAAATCAACTAGCCTATTCATTGAAAGAATCATTCTAGTCAGGATCTCAACTACTTGGTGGCATCAAAATACAGAGACACCAAACAACATTCGAGCTTTATTTCATGAGTAATCTTCATTGAAGCTTTTCCAGGAATGGCATTCATTAAGTCCATGTCTTTTGCTCTCTAAATAATGATTTCCTAGATGAGATCCGTTGATGACCCTCAACAGAAACAACCAAACAACTATTGAATGGTTGACTTACAACCATCCATTTAGCAGCCATTTAAAGTTACAATGGCACTGGGGGAAAATGACTTATGACAGGCTTTCACATTTACATGAATCCCTGTGGTCATGTGATCAAAATGTGAATGCTTGGCAACTGGCATGTACTTAGGACAGTTGCAGCGTCCTGGAATCATGTGATCATCATTTGTAACCTTTCGTTCTGACCCAAACCCTTTTCCAATAAAACAAACATGAACCAAAGGGAACAGAAACCTTTTAATGATTCTTACAAATCTCCGGTTAAAAGGCTGCTGCAAACTAATTAACTTTGATAAGCACAAGCCTCAACAAAACTGTGCGAGGTTGCCAAGAATAACAGATAAGAAATATTTCATAACATAAGAGTCTTCAAATACCAACTTAAGATACTGCAATGTCCACGAAGCTGAGTTTCAAAACGGCTTTGCTTCCTACAAAAAGCGTTCGCTTCACAGCTGGCTTTTATCTTCTTGAAGGAGGGGCCATTACCTTGCAGTCTTACTCCCAAGTCACCCGTGCTGTTGCAGCTGCTCTTTCCTACGAGCAACCCTGCATGCACACGCACTTGGCACAGGCTCCTCGGGAACCTCGTCATCGCTGCTGCCAGCCCCCACAATCTCTGAAGGCAGCAGTCCACTCCCTAATGGTCCTGGCCCCTCATCTGAGTCCTCGCTCTCCTCAGCCGTCCGCACCTGCTGCTGGCTAACCACAACATCTTCCCAGCCTGCTTCTAACAAGCAAATCAACGGGGGACGCCAGATTCACTTAACAACTGCATGATTTACTAGTGGCTTGCTTAACGACTGTGGCAGAAAAGATCGTAAAATGCGGCAAAACTCACTTAACAACAGCCTATCTTAGTAATGGAAATTTGGGCTCAACTGTGGTCATAAATTGAGGATTATCAGTATACAGGGGATCACCAATGTAGCTGCCTTGAAAGTACCACCACAAGAATGCCAATCAATGGCCATGCCCCATCTATTAATATAAATATCCTTTGCAACAAGAAATGATGCTTATTCAGGCCAGAAGTAATAAATAACCTGACTACAGAAGAGGCCTCAGAGAGACTGACATGAAGGCTTTAGGTCATCATTAGTATCTACAATGGAGAGATGTGTTGTGCTTAATTAATTGGTATGAAGCCCGTGAATAAAAATCAGTAGCTATGATGATAACATAATTAGAATAATTGCTATTGTTATTAAATCTTCAGTCTGTGTTGCCAAAGAATGAGAAATAAACAGTATTCTCTGAGGAGAAGTACCTGGACTCTCCCAAAATAGAACAGCCAAGGAAGGACTTTGTTCTTATAATTCTTTAATGGTTTTAATGTTTTTATATCCTGGTTTTATGGTATTGAAATCCACCCAGAATCACCTGAAAGGGAGACGAGCATCGTATAAATTTAATAAATAAATAAACAAATGAGTAAATTGTCCATTCTTCTGACTTTCATTTCTAGGAGGGATCTATAGAGAAGAATTTTTGGTTGAAGACGTCTATTTCAGGGAAAATAGAATTTCTTAATATTCAGTGCTATGTTCAAATGTATTCCTTACAGCACTAGGCTTCTATTTGCAGAAGGAAGGGAGACAGGTTTTATTTCCCCTCATCATAAAGGAAGCATTCAAAATTGTTCACTTCCCCTATCGTGCAGCATGAAATGGTTTGACATGTCTTTTCTTCCTTGTTCTCTTCCTGCACTGGTTAGCTATACTTTATCATAATCCCCTTTTTCACATCCATTCCTATCTGAGGGCAACGGTTTGTCAAGCTCAGATCCTTCAATTCAAGTAACCAAAGGAGAAGTAAGCAGCTGCCATTTCCTCCGGTCTCTCTCCACCGTTCCGATCTTGTTCTTTCTTCCACACTGCCTCACAATTGATGCTTACATTTCAAACTGCCTCTTGTCTTTGGATGCTCACCATGAGATCAATCAAAGATACAGAACCGAGAGGAGAAAAGAACAATAATCAGCCGTTTTCATGCATGTCTAAATAAGGCCTAGTGGTAACCATGGTAACAGCAATGAAATGCTATCCTGTATCGCAGTATGATCTCTTGTTTCTGCCGCTTCTCATCCACAAGGTTGCCTGGAATGAACAGACTCATTCAATGTAAAAGCATGAAATTCAGAAGAAGGGATGTTTTAAACCCTAAATGCTGATAAGATATCCAGGCAAAGTCCTCTGGTTTTTGAAAAGGACCATAGGACTACTCAACATTTAAAAATAGCTTCCCAAAGGTCTATTGTATTGTTCTGAACTCTCTTTTGATTTCCTTCCTCCCTGGCCGTCCATCTCAAAATATTTATATTTTGCTTCATCAATAATGTTGACAGAATGAAATCATCATCTCTCCATTTAAAAAAAATTGTCAAGGAGGTATAAAGTGGTAAGACAAAGGACAGACATGAGGGAAGGGAAAATCCCTCATTTCTATTTTCTCCACTATTCATGTTCTTTCCTCTGTTAATGAAGATTCTCACAACTCTGGATATCTTCCAAATAGAAACAAGCTAGACAAAAGTATCACACATTCATTTGAGTCTAATTTAGCAGGTATTGTTTTCTCCCAGAATGGAGCAGATCTTGTTGCACCTGTTTTACCACCTAATTTAGCATTACTATTATAGTTGAATGTACTGTGATAGAACCTCAGACCACCCAAATCTTTCTGTTCAGTGATAGGTTAACTGGATCTTTGTTTGCTCCAAATGAACAGTCGGGTGCTTACATTCACAGATATCACATAAAACTACACGTCCCAGTTCTTCCTCTCTCCACACTAAAGAAATGTGCAAATATTTTGCTCATGTAACTAAAATTTATATATACATATATACATGCATATTCACAGAGAGAGAGACAGACGAGAAGGAGGGAGAGAGAGGGAGGAGAGACAGACGAGAGGGACAGAGAGGGAGAGGAAAGGAGGGAGAGGGAGACAGAGACAGAGAGACAGAGACAGACAGATGAGATGGAGGGAGGGAGGGAGGGAGGCAGAGGGAGAGAAAGAGAGAGAGATAATTTCATTTCACTCTACCAACTGCCCAAATAATTTGATGAGGATGCTCAGAAGATGTTCTTCCTGGAAGTTCAGATATCTAGAAAGGTATTTATGTCAGGTGCTGACTAAGATACAAAACTCACCATCTTCATCAGTCTGAAATATCATCTCTTTGCCTTCTTTCCGGCCTTCAGGATTGGACAAGATGATCTTGACATGGACGTTTTTATAAGGCAGAAGGTTCTTGATGGTGTAATGGTTGGTACCATGCTCCATCTTCACACATTCATGAAAGGTCTGGTTATGGCCAGTGCCTACAGCATAGCGATAGCAGAGTGTGACAGTGTATGTGTGACAGCGGGTCAGGTTGTAACCCAGAGGCTCCCACTGAAGGATCAGCTGCCTGGATTGGATCTCTGCAAAGGCAAGGCCTTTGGGGGCCCTCATGGGTTCTGCAGAAGGAGAGGGAGAAAGAATGGGAGGGAAAACAAAATCAGTAACTATCAGGACACTAGGAAAGGACAATACTTTGTCAGCTTCTGGTGGTGAAGAATGCTGAGAATGGAAAGATGTTACCATCTCTGGTGCAGCAGAAAATTAGATCAGCTGGAGGAAGATATAATAAACATAAGAGAATGGTCTGTATCTGTTTACAGGTAGTCCTCAACTTACAATTCATTTAGTGACCATTTGAAGTTACAGTGGCACTGAAAAAAGTGACTTATGACTGTTTTTCACACTTACGAACGGTGCATTATCCTCATGGTTACATGATCAAAATTCTGACACTTGCCAGCTGGCTCATAATTTATGATGGTTGCAGTGTTCCGGGATCAAGTGATCACCTTTTGTAACCTTCTGATAAACAAAGTTACTGGGGAAGCCATATTCATTTTACAACAGTATTGCTAACAATGGCAGTGATTCCCATAACAAATGCGGCAAGAAAGGTCGTAAAATGAGGAAAAAACTCATTGAATAAATGTCTCGCTTAGCAATGGAGATTTTGGGGCTCAATTGTGGTTGCAAGTCAAGGATTACCTGTATACCCTCCCAATCAACCAATCATGTATAAGAATTGCTTGCCATAAAGCATGGTCCCAAATCACAGCTATGATTCTTTGTGAAAGCAGCTGTAATTGAGTCCTTGAACCAGAAAGCGTGACCATGTGAAACTCACGCCCTTGCACTTCTTAACAGAATAACAGGATAACAAAATAACAGAGTTAACAGGGACCTTGGAGATCCTCTGGTCCAGGGGTCTCCAACCTTGGCAACTTTGAGCCTGGCGGACTTCAACTCCCAGAATTCCCCAGCCAGTTGGCTGGGGAATTCTGGGAGTTGAAGTCCGCCAGGCTCAAAGTTGCCAAGGTTGGAGACCCCTGCTCTAGTCCAATCCTCTGCTCAAGCAGGAAGTCCTATAGCATTTCAGACAAATGGCTCTCCAATCTCTTCTTAAACATCTCCTGTGTTGGAGCATTGGCAACTTTTGGAGGCAAGTCATTCCACTGATGAATTGTTCTAAGTGTAGAATTCTTTATTTAGAATATAATTCTTTATTGGCCAAGTGTGATTGGACACACAAGGAATTTGTTTTGGTGCAAATGCTTTCAGTGTACATAAAAAAAAGATACATTCATCAAGAGTCAAGAATCATCAGGTGCAACACTTAATAATAGTCAATCAAATCATACTAGGAAACAATCAATATAAATCATAAGGATAAAAGCGACGAAGTTACAGTCATACTGTCACAAGTGGGATGGGATGGGTAATAAGGAATGATGAGAAGATTAATAGCAATAGTAATGCAAACTTTGTAAATAGTTGGACAGTGTTGAGGGAATTATTTGTTTAGCAGAGTGATGGAGTTTGGGGAAAAACTGTCCTTTTGTCTAGTTGTTCTGGTGTGCAGTGCTCTATAGCATCGTTTTGAGGGTAGGAGTTGAAACAGTTTATGTCCTGGATGTGAGGGGTCTGTAAATATTGTGTAAGAAAATTTCTTCTACAACCTAAGGACAGTTAAAACAATTAATGTGTTATTCCCACTATAGAGTCTCCAACACTGATCTGATAACTCCCTATTATCCAATAGACCTGGTAGAACACAAAGCTTTACATGAGTCATGCTATTGTATCAATACCCTGAGAAGACAAGGAAAGTCCTAGAATTGTTATGTATCACAAATTGCATTATGTCGTAACCTATTAGAACAAACCCCGTGCCAATGTTTATTTAAGCATGATGTTCTTCTCTTTGAATGTTTTAATCTTATTTTTTAGAAATAAATGATTTCCCTGTATGATCTGATCCCCAATCATAATAAATAAAACAACAGTAAACCAGAGAGCCAGACAACAACAAAAGAACAGTCATTAATCTTATATGGCAAGATTGCTGAAGGTAGAACTCTGACACCAGAGCAGAATATCCTGCAGGAAGGAAGCTCCTTAAGAAGGAAGAAATCTCCCACTGCTTTTAAAAATCACCCTATTCTAAAACAGGGGGACATCCTATGACTCGAAAGTTTATGTTCATTCAGCTCTCAAATTAATTTTAAAGCTCTTTGCAAAGCAAACAAGCAATTTAGGTCTCTGGCAAAAGCAATATATCCCTTCCTTGGCATATTGTATGTAAGGAGGGAGGGAGGAGTGCCAGAGAAATATAAATGCCCCAAAATATACAAAAAAGGGTGCCGCATCCTTCTTTGGCATTGGTTGCACCAGTGGTGGGATTCATTTTTTTTTACTACCGGTTCTGTGGGTGTGGCTTGGTGAGCGTAGCAGGGGAAGGATACTGTAAAATTTCCAGTCAGAGGTGGGATTTGCCGGTTCTCCAAACTACTCAAAATTTCCGCTACCAGTTCTCCAGAGCTGGTCAGAACCTGCTGAATACCATCTCTGGGTTGCACCCATCCTTATTATGAGATCTTTCCTCAAAGGATGATCCTATGGAAATTCAGATGGAAAAGTGTGAACTTCCTCTCAACAGACAATGCAATGACAAAGACAGCCTTACAGCATGCCCAAGAGAGACTCTTCCATGTATAGAAGCAACATGTGTTACCCATCATCAAAGGAACCCTCATGGGTTCTGCAGAAGAGTTGGAGACAGAATGAAAAACAACAAACTCAGTAACTAATTTGGAGGAAAAAAAACATGCTTGTAGGAAGAACTGCATTCTATCTCGATGCTCTGCTTTATAGGGAGTCTTTGACTTACAACTATTTGTTTAGCAACTGTTCAAAGCTATTTGCAATTTTCCCAGCTGGCTTCTGACAAGCCAAGTCAATGGAGAAAGTCAGATTCATTTAATGATCAAATGATTTATTTAACAACTGCAGTGATTCACTTAAGAACCATGGCAAAAAAAGAAAAGTTGTAAAATTAGGGGTTACTCACTTAACAATTGTTTTGTTTAGCAATGGAAATTCTGGTCCCAAGTCCATCGAGGACTACCTGTACATGGTTAGTAAAGGCAGCTTTTACACTCAGCGGTTGCATTAATTACAACACACTCATCTTATTCACTGAATTACTTTATTTTCTAAATTGCAGAATAAACCAACCTCAAAGGCTAAATTCATACTAAATAATCTACAAAATAATCCACTAACCAACAGACCAAGTTTAACCAGAATTAAGAAAAATGATTCATCTTGGAATGTTCTGAAAGCAAAATAAGCCATTCCAATCTCAGATCAAGACATTTCAAGTCTTCTGGAAGCGATCCCTCTAGGAAAAACAGTAGTGCTGAAACACTCAGAATACCTCTGCTTTGAGAATGGGCCATTTACAAAAACACCGAATGACCCATTTTGGTTTTGGAAGGTTCCATCATGAATTATTTTGCACACCACAGAAGATTAGCATATTGGGTGGACGCATCTGTTAGGCTCATAATTCACCTGGTGAAGAGCAAATGATCAAGTTATGAGTATTAGGTGAACAAACCACTGTATGTAAAGAGCAGTTCCCTAAACACCAGAAGAATCCAATAAGAAAGCTTCCTCACATTAAATAAACTAAGGTCAGCTCCCTAGTTATTAAACTGGATTATGTTTAATGAACTTGGGCCACAGCAAAGCTAAGGGGCCCAAGATAAGATAAACTGCCCTTCAACATTGCTATCCAATAATTTTGGAACATCTATAATCATTTGTGCATCTCTTTCACTGAATGTTGTACAGAAATAACTTTTCATATTTATTTACTTTATTTGTTTGTCAAACATGTACAAGATAACAAGGATAGGTATGAACATAAAGGAGGAACAAAGGAAGTAAATGCAGATAAATGGGGACAGTAAGTTAGGGATGATAGGCATGCTAGTGTGCATATGCACGCCCCCTTTAAGGACCTCTTAAGAATTGGGTGAGATCCACGGTAGACAGTTTGAGATTGAAGCAGTGAGGGTTTGAGGCTGTAACAATGGAGTTGGGTAGAGAGAGAGAGAAAAATATGACTGGAGAGAGAAAAATGACACCACCTAGCACCATACTCAAAAGACTCCAAGTAATGGCTTTGGAAGCAATTTTAAGTACTGGGTCATCTGAACTGTACCTCTTGTGTCTATGCATAGGAAATAGCCCTGAACAATATTATACGATCCAGTTTTGAATCTGCTGCAGCCTTCAGAGATACAAGATATTTTACATATCTCTAAAATAAACTTATCAACTTATTCATAAGTAGGTGAAGCAAACGCACACGGAACAGCAATTTCAAGCGCCGTAGGAACAGAGAGCAAAAGTTGATGGTGCTGCAAAAATTCAGGTTTTAAAGCCATGACAAGTTCCTTTCCCTTGTGCCTCTCCAGGTGTTCCTGCCTTGTTAGATTTTTGGAATTTTTTTCATTAACATCACGCACAAACGTGTGTGCATGCATGCACAAACACAAAGACAACTTTAGACGAAGAAAAAACAAGACCTAAGCAAAATGAAAACATCGCTTTTCCTGGGTGGGATCTTTAGAAATGTACTCATTCCAATCGATCTAATCATTTTGCCTTTTTCCTCCCCTGCTCCTCTAATGAGAAAAATCTATCACTTTTGTGACAGTTGTTTTTCTGCTGTTGTTCTTTTTAAAGCATTTTAGTTGTCCGTGTAGAGTCTAAAGTTGTGACAGAACTCTAAGTGGGGATACATTTCAGTAAAATTACCATCTATATTTTAGCTTTTGTTGTTAAAAGGAGAAGTTGTGTCCTGCTGGATTTAATTTCCATATTCGAAGACTGACTTGCAGAAACTATATGCCTGAATGTCCTCAGAGCTCTGAAGTGCTTTGAGCCTCTTGAACTCTTAAGAAAGTGGATTTATAGTCTTTTTCCTGCTGATTTACATCTCATGTTTGTGGGGCCTATTTAAAAAATTGATTTATTCATGTAGGTATTTCATACTATGCTCCTTGAGGTTGCACAGATGCACACTCAAATAATTCTAATAAAACAC